CTCCCTAATCTCTAAATTAGCCTCCCCTCTCAGCACGAGCCTCCCTTGGATGTTAAAATCTGCACAGCTGAATGGTGGAGTTTTTGTCCATCTCCTCTACTGGTCATCTTGGCAGAAGCAAGAGAACATTTCCTTTTAGAGGCTGTTGATACTCAGGGAACATGATCCGTTAACTCTTTCAGCCAGAACAAGTCAGAGATCTCCATGAATTTTCATTTTTTGTCCCACCTATGTAATCCCTACTTGACACCTGTCCTGAAGCAGTGCAAGGTGCTCTGGCGTCTAAACCTGTGCATGAAAACAGTGGCTTGGCTCTTATAGGTGAAGCTCTAGCTGATCTCTTTGCTATCTTCACAGCGCTGTGGAGTGTGCTGTGTAGTTCACCTTTTAAAGAACATGGCCTCTGGGGAGAAATAGGTTTGGGAAAAACATTATCATGCGAAATCATGTTTTTTTCTCCTGAGGTGGAACACCTTGCATTTCTCTGTGTTGCATGTCATCAGGAACCATGCGGTTGCTTCACACCCCTACCGATCACAGGCACTCCAGGAAATTCCCAGAGCTGCCATCCTTACAGCTTTGACTGAGACCTGATCTACCATCACTTCTATGCCAGGTCTCTTACTCACCCTAGACAGGCATTTGGAAGAAAGGAAATACATTTCCCTGGGGTCTCTCTCAAGCCTAAACAAGCTGAAGATGCACTCACTGTCTCCTTCATGCTCACCCATGCTGTCAGTCCCAGGCACGCAGCCTCTCCAGGGTATTATGCTCCATTCACTGGGGTCTCTCTCAGGCTCTTATCTATGTTGTCACAGCACCTCCTGGGACCATTTAGCTTCTGCCAGCCATGACTTGCTAAGCAGCTCAAGCTCTCAATGAGAGCCCCTGCCGCTGGGGACAGGAGACATTAGTAGTGCCTGTTGCACCCAGCCAATAGGGGCTTAGGGCTGATCTGGGTGCTCAGTGAGTGAAAGATACCTTATGTGGAGGAGACGAATTACTCATGCTTTGGAGGGCTGGCCTGGGGCATGGTGAAAGTACTTGTCCAGGATTCTCACACCCCCTCCCCCACAAGAGAGCTGTCTGGGTTACACACCACCTTGCTAGGCCCCTTGTTATCAGATTTGCCAGTCACTTTGGGGTGTCCTCATTTGTTAGGGGTACATTTCTGGGGTCTCTGTAATTCTATCAATGTGCTGCTTGTGTTACTTGTGTTTCTATACGGAGCTGTATCTCTCCCTTCTGCAAGTCCTCACCCCCAGTGGAGCTATCTTGCAGGACTCAGTTTCAATGGGGCTGGGTTCCTCCAACCACCAAATCAGTCAAACATATATATGCACATACACACACAGATTAACACGGCACGCCTGAGCCAGGCCAGGTTATTCAGCATTGACAGGCTAACACTTTCATATGCCTTGAACTCGGTTCATCAGGGCAGCAATAAAATGCAGTCAGACACAAGCGCACAGGTTAACACAGCACATTTGAGTCAGGCTGAGTTATTCAGCATTGACAGGCTGACACCCTCAAGTGCCTTGAACTCAGTTCATCCCTTAAAAGCAGGACAATAATAAATGAAGTTAGACCCACATCCACGCGCACTAACAGACTACAGGAGTGAAGCAACTCCCCTCATCTCATTTACATCAGAGATGGAACCGATGACAAGTCCTTTCCATGGGAGATGGGGCAAGGAAGCACCTTCATTAGCATTCAGGATGGAGAACAGAGATTGCACGGCAAGGAGCGCACTGAATTCTGGGACCAGAAAAGCAGGGGAGCACTGCATGATGGGAAATCTCTTCTCTGAATGCTAATCAATCCATGTGTGCACACACCCAGCTTAGCATTTATCAGACCAATTCCAGTAATGACTCTTTTATTGGTACTCAAAACACTGAATGTACCTGTCTGCATTGTGAGCTCCCCCAGAGTAATGGCAGCCAGAGTCAGGAGAGATCAGTTCCTATTATCCAGCATATGAGCCATCGTTTACCCATAAACAAACCTGGTGCTCTCCCTTGAGCCATCGTTAGTTCTCTACAAGACCCCCTACCCACGTTCAAATTTCTGTCCTGGTGCTTGGATCCAAAAGGATCGGAGTTGCTTCACTCCTATCATCCTTATCTGGGGGGGTTTAGGTGCATCTCCCACTGCATCTTCAGTGTCTTTTGTAAGTCCATCCTCTAATCACTTCTTGTTTGGGGCAGGCAGGGGTGGGGGAGGCTGAGTCTTTTGCGAGTCAGGCAGGCTGCGTACTGTGCCAGGTTTCCCCCAAAACACGGAGCTGACAAGTACCACCTGGCCATCTTGGAACCCCCAAAACTGTATCCATGCTCCAAACCGCAGGCTTGGACCATCCTGCCAGTACCTGCTTATTCCGGTTCCCAATTACTCCTGTACTTTCTTGCACATCTGGACATCCTGACCTGGGTCAACCCCTTGCCTTAATCACGGCCTCATCTCACTTTGCCGCTTGCTATCCTGTCCAAGGACTGATGCTCGGCTTTGACCTTGGTTTCCACTTTTCTAAATCCCTGACCAAGCTCCATCCTCTCAGCCTGATGGCCTGTGTCCTGGACACCCTTTACAACAGGAAGTGCTGGCTGCTGCTTTGAGAGGGGTTCCTTCTGAAAAGAGTGTGCACAGAGAAGGGACCTGTACTGGTTCAGTGACCACAAAGTGGTGGGCTTGGGGGGCTGCTGTCCAGACCAGGTGGTGGTGACAATGGTAAAGCAGATGGACACAAGCATGTGCAAGCCAGGTGCTCCTCTGAGCCAAGCTCTGTTTTAGGAAATAACCAGACCTGCATGTCAGACCCTTCAGACAGGATCTTTTATGGACTGGAATAGACTTCCACTTCCATGGCCCTCCAGTGACATCTGTGCGCCTCATTCCCTTGGCTTCCCCTCATAACCCATGCCCTGAAGCCCATGGGGTGGCCTGGAGAATAAAGAACTGCTAATGAGAGGACTCAGACTCCTGCAGTGCCAAGCAGGATCCATGGGACACCCAGCTTCTCACCCCTTACAAAGAGCTACAGGGCTTGAAAGGCCTGAATTCATATCTGGATCCCAAATGTAACCATCCTTTTCATGTCACCTAGGCCCAGAATTTTGACTTGATCTTCTCAGAGTATCTTCTTCAGCTAAGCATAGAGTCACCAGGAGGGGGACCAACGGTGTCCTGGGACAATGTGTACCTGGCATTCAACCCCACTCAATGCGAGGACAGACTCTTTTACCTGTCCTCCACATGAATGGCACAGCAGGAAATCCCTCTGCCCCATACAGCTGTTGCACACCACACAGGATCAAATGATCCCCCTGCTCAGGAGATCTCATCACTGATGTTTTCTCAGTAATATACATTTCCCCAGGCCCAGTGCAGAGACTACACAAGTTGCACAGGAGACCTGGTCATTGAATTTCCCCAGGCCCAAGGTGGAGACCATGATGACACAGGCTAGAGGCCATTGCCAGAAACAAGTTCCCTCATCCCCTTTCCAATGGCACTCCTGACACAGGGACACCCCACAGGTCCCTTTAAAGCATGGAGCACTTCCTTCTCCCATCAGACCCACCAAGGCACGCACACCCATTCCTGACTGTCTCACCCCCACTACTCATGTAGTGGACATTGAGTCTCCCCATGGGGCCTCTAAAAAGCCCAGTCTTCAGGGCTCCTGCAGTTTGTCAGGGCCACACTCTTTGTGGTACACAACTGGAGGCATCACTGCTTGGGCAGGGCAGTCACTCGGGATTGTAGATGATTTCCATGGGCCTGTGATGTCCCAATACAGCCTTACAGGCTACTGGCTGCTGCTCACATGGTTGCTAACAAACCACAAACCCATCACAGAGCTTAGAAGATAAGATGTGGGGACATGGTCGAAGCAGAAGGCCCCAGGCTGATAGTCCCAATATCCCTGCTGATCTCCGTGAAAATGGGAGCACAAGAACCAGGGCTGGGGGGCCGGAACTGTGGGTTGTGAGGGGCACGAGAGATGTGTGGGGTGACTGTGGGTTGGGTGTGCAGGGCACTGGCAGCGCCAGGGAGCTGTGGGTTGGGCGTGAGGGACACGGGAGATGGGCGGGGTGACTGTGGGTTGGGTGTGCAGGGCACTGGCAGTGCCAGGGAGCTGTGGGTTGGGAGTGAGGGACACGGGAGATGGGCAGGGTGACTGTGGGTTGGGTGTGCAGGCCACTGGCAGCGCCAGGGAGCTGTGGGTTGGGCGTGAGGGACACGGGAGATGGGCGGGGTGACTGTGGGTTGGGTGGGCAGGGCACTGGCAGTGCCAGGGGGCTGTGGGTTGGAAGTGAGGGGCACCAGCAGGGCTGAGGGGCAGAGCTCTGTGAGTGAGGAGTGAGGGGCACCAGCACAGCTGTGGGGAGAGGCTGCGGGTGCAGAATGAGGGACACAGGCAGCGCTGGGGGAGCAGGGGCTGCAGGTTGAGAGTGAGGGCTGGGGGCAGGGGCTCTGGGTCAGGAGTGAGAAGCACAGGGAATGGGACCGTTGACTGTGGGCTGGGTGTGCAGGGCACTGGCCACACCAGGAGGCTGCGGGTCAGGTGTGCAGGGCACCAGCAAGGGGTGGGGGGCGGGGTACTGCTGTTTGGGAGGGAGGGGCAGCAGCAGGGCTCGGGGGTGTGGCTTGTCAGTGAGGAGCTTGTCTGCTCCCACCTCCCTGCCCAATTGCCCCAACCCCAGCCAATGAGCACAGCTTCTCAGCCGAACTGATCCAGGTGCGGCTCCTGCTCTTCCTCCCCCTGCCTCTGCTGCACCTCTCCAGCAGGGAGGGAAGCTGCAACCAGGCGCCTCCAGCTCCAGCAACAGTTCCCGGCCACCTTCCACCCACTCTGCACAATGAGCTATTATGCAATCACCTCTATATATGCTTTTCAAAAGAAACATAAAATAGGACAAAAACTGGTTTTTTTTAAATAAAGTATGTTATAGTAAATGTTTGATTTTTAGTATATGATTTGATTTTTAACCATAATTAATTAAAATGATATCTTCTAATAGATGGTATGTGCACAGTCCTCAACAGCTCACCAAAGCTGGTTAACTGGCCCGCCAGCTGAAATAATTGCTGACCCTCATGGCTTGCTGGTGGGATAATTTCGCTTTCCCGGCCACACGGTCCCCTCTGCTCCAGCAATCTCCCTCATCAGTGCCCACTGTGCCATCAGTCTCTGGGTCAATGCACTTATTCTTTTCCTTCTTGTTCTCTCGCCTTCTCACAAATGCAGAATCGAGTTTCCTCACATCTGCCCGTCCTAGCTGCCCCTCCTTGGACATACACACAAGGACCACGGGCATCATTTCCATGACGTGTGCTTAAGAGCACAATTCTGGAATGAAAAGTCACAGTTTACAGTTCAGGTCCATACCCCGGAGCTCAGCACACCATGATATCCTGGTTTTACTGACAGCTTGGGACACTGAGGCAACAGCATAACAGAAGGGAAGGCAGAGATGCTCAAGGCTTAATAATCCAGAGGAGATCTCCCAGTGCAGGATCCCTTTGACCTTCCAGAAATTCCTCCGGAATTAAACCTTTAGACTGGAGGTTTTTGTCCTTCCTTTCCTACAACTAGATGTTGTCCCCAGAGGTGTCTCCAGATTCCACAGTCCCATATACAATCCAGCCGACACAAGTGCAGACACTACCCATGAAACAAATTCCTGCATCATGGGGCTCTCCAGTGTATCCTACAATCGTAATCTACCAGCCTCCCCTCTTCCCACTAAACCAGGGGTGGGAAATTATTTGGGCCGGAGGGCCATACAGGGAATTTTGATGAGTCGGGTCAGCACCCACCCCTGCCCCGCCCCCTGGCAACAACTGACCAAAACTTCATATGGGGCTTTGGGCATGTGGGGAGCAGTATTTGGGAGTGGGATGAGTGCAATCAGTGACTCCCTGCACACCCTGACCTGTGAGGAGGGTGGGTGTGTGTTGGGGGGGTGAAGGTAGCGCATATGCCAGGGTAGCCTGTGCCATGTTCTCACCCATGCCTGCTGGCCCAGCCCCAGCCCCAGCCCTGGCCAGCACATAGTTTCTGGTGGGGCTGTTCCCAGTGTTACAGCAGCCAGCTGGGTGCTGCTCTGCTTCCCTCTCCTCCAGTGATGGCTCTTCCTCCCACTCTTGGCCCTGCTGCACCACTAAGCTTCAGCTGGGCAGCTCCTGCTGGAGGCGAGGGAAGCAGAACAGCCCTGGGAATAGCCCCACTGGCAGTTCTGCGTGGTGTGCAGGGCCTGGGCCATCAGGTGCGAGCGAGAGTGCAGCGCATGCTGCCCCAGCAGGAGCAGGTGGAGTTCAGCTGCATGCAGAGTGTGTGGGGGCAGCTGCGGGCTGGATCCAGTCAGTTGGCAGGCTACATCCAGCCCACGGGCCATACTGTGCCCACCCCTGCACTAATCCATCTCCAGAGCCCCCATTGTTCTAATACTGCCAACCTTTAAGGGATTTTAAATGGCTGCCCTTTCTTGTGCTGAGTTGGTCTGTCACAGGCACACGTATGGTCCTTGGCATGGACAGTTTTAGGGACAGAAAAGTGAATTTGGGGCAGTGAGTGGCTGCCATGACTGTTCCAGCTCACCGCAGCTGGCCTCATGAGCTAAGTTAGTCACTCATGAGCTCTGGTAGGTCCCAGTAAATTACTGAAGACATCTGTGACTCTCACATTTCCTGTAACACACATCAGTAGTAAAATTTGGGGTGGGTGACTGGGGCACCAGTCTTGGATGCCACCTCAGGAGGGGAGTCAGTATCTCCCCCCACCCCACTGGAGTCCATGCCCCGGCTGCAAGAGCTCTTGCAGCATCAGCTGGGGACAGACACCTCGCTGCTGCTGTAAGAGCAACAACTGAGGCAGGCAGACCATGCTGCAGTGGCAGGGGGAGGCAGCTGAAACAGCCAGGGAGTGTTGATAAGTCCTTGCCATGGGTACGACTCCTGCACACCTCTATCATCATTCTCCCAGCAGGTTTGTCCAGGGGGCAAACTGCTTCTTACGCCTCTAACACACCTGGCCTGTGTACAGCTCACAATGTTTCATAATCTTTCCTCTGGCATCCTCTGGCATCCTCTGGAGATACCTGGTTAGTGCTCTCCTGTCTAGCGTCGACTTCTGCCACTGTCAGAGACAAGGATACTGCGCTAGGTGGACCATTGGTATGATCCAGTATGGCACTTCTTATGGCGGTCCCCACTTCATGGGGACCTCATGCAATATGATCTGAGCTCAGCAGAAGGTACCTCACAGGCTGATGGACATGTATCTTATCCAAACATGCTGTCCTCAGGCGACCAGACAGTCCAATGTGTCCAGCTGCAGCCCACAAAAGAGAGGAGAGTGACACTGCCTTTCTCCTCCACCACCCTTGAGCCCTCAGGGCCAAATTTGTTTCACAAGAGGACCAGAGCTGGGCTACAGGCTTCCAAACACCTGGGGCCACTTGTGCTACTAGGGCCTGTCACTCACTGAGTTTATGAAGAAGTTCACAAATCTGTTTAATGGACCTGTCTGAGGCCCTCAGTCCCATAGTGAATCACACCCAGCGGCTTGTGTTGTATTTTGGCGCAGGGTTGTGGACACCCTGGTGAAACAGACTTACAGGTCAGGGGAGACATCTGTGCCATCAGCCCAGACCCACTTCCTTCTTTCAGAGTTGTACAGCAATCCAGTCCAGTATGGATAGTAGTGCAGATAGCTTCCACGATCTTCAAAATAGTGAAACGACTCTGTCAGTATGAACTCCTGCATGGGAACAGGATTCAATGGGAAGGAAAGTGAGATCTCTCAGGTGCAGCATGGCAGGAGTTCCCTGCGCAGTATTGCCATGGAGCTCTGTATAGAGATTATCCCTGTAGACAGCCTCGGTACTTTGCAATCTCAAACACCCTGCAAGTAACGCTCTGGCACCTGCCACACACACACACACACCCCTTAAACAAAAACATGAGATGCAGAAATACAATTAAGCCTATACCTGTATAAGCCACCCACTGATTTCTACACAATCAGAGAGGCTTCCAAGGTGTTTTACCCATTCACAGACCTCCCAGTACTCAGAACCCCACTCCTGGCATCACCTTGTCAACACTTGGCCACGGAAATCAGCCCCAAGGCCTGACTCCCAGCTGACTCAATTTACTAATCTGATTTTCACCAATATGTCAACAATAACACAGACTCACCAGTTCAGCTGTGCTTCTAATCGTGAGCAGACTGGCAAAGTGAGAACTGCAGGAGGAGTTACACTTTTCCCAAGGTCCCTTTTCAGGAGAAAAGAGGTAGGACTTCTTTGTTTTGTGACTCCACCGCACCAGACACTTCTCCTCTGGAACAACACATACTGCATCAGCTCACTGCACTACCTGATCACTCCCATGCTGGTGACATTGCCATCAGGAAGGAGGGAATTTCATGCCCACCATGTTTCTCCACTTCCATTTCTTGTGTCTCATGGGCCCTATATCTGCGGGGAGCTCCTGCCCCACATCTCAAAATGGGGATGGCCCTTTCCCCATCAGAAGTGGCAGCTGCTGCCATGCAGGGAACACCAGGTGCTGGCTTCCCCGGCTGTATGGGAAACAAGCCAGACCCGCCAGAGAGCCACCACCATCTTGGCTGAGGCCAGACTAATCCTTTCAACCCAGACTGGGCTAGGGGGCTGAGAGCTTGTCCCTAGTAGGGAACATGGGCAGAAAATCGGAGCATCAGGCCTTGACTGAGAGACTCCTGTCCCAAAGCTGGACAGAGGTGGTAATGATTGCTGTGGGAAATGGTTTTCCTCTCCTGTAAGGCTTTTCCAAAGCAAAACATTTTCCTGTCCTGAATTCAGACAAAAGGAAAAATCTTTAAAGATTTTCATTAAATCAAAAACCCCATTTATTTTGTGTTTGCATCAAAAGAACATTTCATTTGTGTAATCTGAAAGATTTGTATTTGAGTTACATTATTTTAATCCTTTTGTGGCTTTTCAGAATATTTTTGCACCTTGCGCCTGCACCTCCATAAGGATCCCTTATTCAAGGAATATTTTGAAAAAGGAAATGGCATTTTGCAGTGCCAAGACAACCCCACATTCACAATTTGGCCTGCCTTGAAAATATCTCCAAACCCACAATTTACCTTTGTCAGGAGACTGATCCTGTGGCATTTCTTGAACACTTGTGTTTGGGTCTGGGCAGGACAGCGGACATTGGATGTGGGTTTTCTTCTCTTTGCTCAGCTCCATGACTGAAACATCAGAACAGCGCAATGGCATCTGTTATGATACAGACTTCAGCAGTTTTGTAACCGTAACATTACCTGTATTGTAGTGCCACACAAGCAGCTGAACTAGTATGACTGAATGGAGCAATTGTCCAATAGAAAAGCAATGATTTTCTAAACAGTTCACCACCAGCTCCCTTCCCACCTACTTCCCCGGCTTTGCATATGGAGGTCGAACAGCTAGCCCAAGCCCCCTGGCTCCTTAAAGGTTGTCTCTTTTGAGGTATTAGAGCTAGAGCTGCACAGGCTTCCAGGATGCTCCTTGGGGCCTGTCAGGGATCTGTAGCTACTCTGGCTTCTAAGTATTGGAGACATTTCAATTCTCCAAAAAATATTTGGGTTTTGCTCTGTTGTCCAGCATGATCCAGAGCAGACTGCAACACTGATCGGGCTTGTTCTCAGCTAGTGCAATGGCAAGAGTCGCCACTAGACCCAGTCTGCAATTTAGTACCAAAATTATTTCTTAAGATAAAACAGTTTCTGCAAAACTAGCATCTTCTGTGAGGAAATTTCTGTTTCAGTTTTTTGCATCAGGAAAATCATAACACTTTGGTTTGTTGAACTGAACTGAATTGGTATCTGTCAAGGTAGTTTGGCCTTAAACCCAGAGGAGCAATGGGAAAAGAGGCTCCTCTGGAGACAAGTTATAGCATCATGGCTGTAATGGTTTCCAGGGCCATGCACAGCTCCCTTTTGATTCTGCCATGGGGCTGGAGCTCCAGGGCTTCCAAGCCCCAGTGCAGGATGCTGAGCACTTCCAGCCTTGGATTTCATGTCCTGATCAACAATGAAGAAACTCCCCAAACCACAGCTTGTTTTTGTACATTTTGAACTTGAGGCCATGGCCAACTCTGCCTGCCATGGTTTAAGAAAATCATTGTAACTGAAAATAGTGCCGAGTGCCCAGAGGAGCCATGCTGGATACCACAGACCTGCTGAGACCCTCCCCACAGAACTCCATAGTGCTCTCCAACAAACACCATTGCAGTGCTAGCCCACGGCAGAGATCTGCACCACGGCCCAAGCTCATATCTCCAAAGCAGGCACATTTTGAAGTACCAGCTCACAGGTAGGGATGTGCAGAACTGAAATTCCATTTAGAAAGTCCACCGTGTTAAGGTACATTTTCCATGTATAAAAACAACATGGATTTTTCCATATTAAATAGCACCAGGGCTCCTTTTTCTAAAAACAAGCAGCAGGGCTGCAGGCCCCATTCTCAGCTGGAGTTAATCAACCTAGCTCCAGTGTGTCCAAAAGAGTGAGGCCCATTCATATCATTTAAAGGTCTAGCTTTTAAAACAGACATGTGCAAACTTGTAGGAGATCTAGTAGCTTAAAATAGGAATAGTCAGGCATGCAGGAGAACACACACACTGCACATGATCTGTTAAAGGGGTTGAAGCCACTAATAGTGGAAACCACGATACAGCAGTGTCATCAGCACTTTCAGACCAGTGTCACTGGTCTGACCCAGCACAGGCTACACCAGTGGTTAGACTTATTCTCCACCTACACACCTAGAAGATCCCCATGGCCACCAATCAAATACAACTGCTACCATGGGGTGCATAACCCCTAATTACTTGAGCGCTTTGCCCTGAAAGGCCTTGCAGTTTAGCAACTGAACTGCTCCAAGGAAGAGGGTGGGCTGCATTGTTTCATATTATGAGGCCCCTCCCTTACATTAGTTTCTTCCACTTTGAAAAAAAAAGAAAGAAACAGAAGCCTATACAATAAATTTAGCAGAAGTTGTTGCTGTCAGATTGTTCTACATAGACCTCTGGATCCTCCCAAATCGTCTGTGCATAAAACGAAACAAAAGCTTTTCCACTTGATTCTTTTCTGTAGAGTACTTCACATCCAGAAATTTCAATTTCTGGCTTCAAATGTTTTCTTGTTTTGAAATGTTGTTCAGGTCTAAGGAGAAAAATATTGGAACATTTTTGCCTTCCGTCTTTGTGTAACAGCTGCGAAGGCTTGCTTGGCTGCAAGCTGAGTAGGTGAGCTGCGCCTAAGAACTTTGCAAGAAAGGCAGCAAAGTTTGCAGAGGGTGAAATAGCTTTTCCAAACAAAGGGTATGCTGTGCACAATGCATGCTTTTTACTGGAGGATTTGAACTGTAACCAGAGCCCCCATTGCAAACCCTGGGCTCTGATTGGCTACTATGGAGCCATAAATCTGAGGAAGGGAAAAGCAGCCGGAGAGAGAAGCTATAGGACAGCTACACCAGCCTGAAGAAAGGGACAAAGACTCAGCCCCTCCTTTCCCCCCCTCCAGGCAGAGGGACCAAAGCTGAGGCTTGGTGGGATGGAAACTTCAGGACAAAGGACAGCTTTAGTCATCCCAGGAGAAGCTGATTCCTCGCCGAGGGTAGGAACTGTGCAATCAGGAACACAGAAGGAAACTAAAGAAAAGAAGCCTGTTTCCTGCAGTGGCTGATTGGAGACTTTTTTTTTGCTGAGTTACCAAGAAAGAGCAGAGTCCACCTTCCGGGGAGCAGCAGAAGCCTCGCCTCTGCCACCTCGTGGTGGATCATAGTTAAAGCTGTATTTCCATTTCTTGTTATGGGAAGGGGAGTGTGACCAGAGGGAAATCAACCTGCATTATGAAGAGGAAACGGTTTTAAAGTGTTATAACTAGGTGAATGTAATCATTGAGGTTGTGGTGGAATTATTCATCTGTTGTTGCACTTGTAAATTCTATTCAAATTGTTCGTTTTATTATTAACTATTGATATTATATATATATATCTACAGATATATAGATATCTATAGATATATATTCTCTTAATTAATCATTTCTTTTCTGTATATAGTTGTGTATAATAAAGAAACCCATTTGTTTATTGGACTTAAAGTAAATTCTTGGGCAGTGAGAGTGAGAAACACACCTCTCCATGGGACACCTCAGTCAGCAGACCTACCTGCCTGATGGGGTTCCCAGCGCTACTGGCACCCTAAGGATCCAAAATCTGGCAAATCGCCTGGTCTAGCATGCCAGCGAGAGTTACATTTGAAATATGTTGTTTGACCTGAAAAAAAAACTTATTCCTCCCAGGATACTCAACAGTTTTTTTTTTTAAATGATATTGTTTCAGATCAATCAAACACTTTTTTTCCCATTTCCCAAGAAACTAAGGTTTTCCCCCTAGTCTAGTTGCATGCCTTGAAGAGCTGTGTTTCTGAATTATTTTGGCTTTAGACTGAGCAAAATGTCAAGTGCTGGAAGAGTGTTGCTGCATGTCTACTCAATTGTGTGTCTTAAAAACAGGGTAACACAGCAGAATAGTGCAAAATGACAGCTCTTGCTCCCTGTTTCAAATGTCTTGCTCTTTCTCTAAACTCACATTACAGCCTGGACTATAAACAGCTTCTGACCTGGCATATCCATGCCCCAAACTTGAGAGCCAAAGTCTCTTTTGTCATTCCCTAGGATTAGCTTCCTCCAGCACAAATCACTCTCTCAGCTTTCACTTGACTGAAGATTGAGAATTTTTTTGTAGGCATTGGGCAAGGAGGTGAATCTCGCCCATTGATCAGAGAGGACAGAGAAGTCTCATAGTGCGCATTTGATTTCAATGCAATCATTCTCACAGTGCGTTTGATCAGAAAAATGCAAGGGAGAATCATATTGCCCTTTTAGGCTTTTTTTTACAATTTATCACTTTGGATTCTGATTCAAGTTTGTGAAACAAATGCAATAGGCAAATGCCTCATTCTCAAATGAAGTGAAATGGGCCTTGATGTCATTGTTCCCTTCAGTATAAATGCATTCTACCAGCCTTCTTATGCTAAATTTAAATGGGTTTGATTAACTTGTAACAATGACCCAAAGTTTCTCTTCTCTCTTTTCTTCAGTAATCTGGGGGTCATTTCTGATATTGGCCCTTTGACACTTACCATGGGTCTTGTCTACATCGTAGTAAGCATTAATATAACTCAGAAAGTTTTATCTAAGTTATACGTTAAAGCTCACTAAGTACCAGAGTCTTGATCCAGTTCCTATGCAGCCCAAAGGCTGAGACCAGAAGTTAGCTAAATTTTTGGTCTAAGCCCAGGGACTAACCAGAGCCCGTGGATTGTGGGTCCCAACTCTAGGAACAAAATTAATCCTCTTATCTCTATGGAATAGTCCCGCGTTAACATATGACATGTTACATAATACTCCTCACTTGAAAAGGCCTAAATCTGCTGCATTTTGGTAACGCTTAGCATGTTTTACCCTGCTTGAATGCTCAGATGCAAGTGTTTTAAGCGTGGTTAACACACATTACAGGTGATATGTAACAACCCTCTTAGGAAAATTGCATAAATTTAGAATTTCTGAAGACCTGAAATATTTTGGTCCTAAATCTTCCCACTAAATTGCCCTGGTTTACCTCTGTGTCAGGGAATCTTCATGGGGTTTCATTACAGTTCCTATCTTTTTCAGAGTCTTTTCCCACCAAGGAACTTTTCAAATGCCTAATTGATTTGAATTCTCCAGATAATAAAAGTGGCCTGAGGACTCTGGATTACACTTTGTTTCTTTTATACCTTACTGTCATAGATGTAAAAGAAAACATTTCCTGAACTGACACTGTGCAGGGAGAAGGAGCAGAGACAGAACATCTACTTCTATTTTTGAGACATTTTATGTCACCGGCATGTCTATATCACCTGATTTCTACTTATCTAACTCCTACCACTCTGTATAAGTTTACAGAGCAGGATAGGGGGAGCTTGGGTTCCCATTACATACTTACTCTTGGCACCATAGATCCTGGCAGTGATCAGGAAAAACAGGCACAGCAACATTATCCCGAGTACCAGTGGAATGGGGGACCATGGCGGGGATGCTGGGGCAGTCTCTAGCAGAGGGAGAAGAAAGAAGAGAGAAGAGATGAGAGGGGAAGTCTTCCTACCTATGTAGTGAGGGTGGGCTGGAGAGCACTGGAGCATTTCCTGAACCTAGAAGCCAGAACGCTCCACAAAGCACAGGGCAAAACTCCTCAAGAGTGTCCCCCACTGACTGGACAGTCACTATGACTGGACAGCAAAGAAGATGTTTCAGTAGAAGTGTGTGCATGGGGCTGCTGGAGCTGGAAGACAAGCAGTTTTTGCTCCCTTCCTCAGCCGTACCTCTCAGTGGAAAACTCTCCCTGACTTAGGAGACATATTCCAGGGAGGGAGCATGTGTTCCTGTAACACAAGGTGCAGATCACCAGATGTTTATATACAACTGACCAATGCAGTGTTGGATTCAAGAGATCCCCTGTGCCTGGCCAGGACTGCGAGGCTGAGTGACCACAGCCATTTCCTTCACCTAGCAGAGCACTCTTGGAGGCACAAGGCAGAGAGCAAGCAGCACTGAGGGGAGAGCTGGGGTTTCTTGTCTCTATCACGTTCTGTCGTGACAGAGGGGAATCGCAATGGCTGAGCTCTCATCCAGGCCAAGTGCACTTGATTGCCCCACAGCCCCTCTCTGCCCCACACCATACCTGTGTGCCCAGCATGCTGAGGGATCTGTCTCTGGAGCGCTGGAGGAGTTTCCAGTCTGAGGTCTGATGAGGCGTCGTCCTGCCCATGCATTCCTAGCAGGTCCAGTGCAGCTGGTTTGGACTCAGCCAGAAGTAATTCAGGGCTGGGTTGGGCCATCAGGAGGAACTGGTGGGTCTGAGTGACTCAGGTGCAGCAGAAGGAGCAGCACAGAGCTATGATTGAGAGGGAAACAGTTACCTGTCCTGAGAGAAGTGACACAGCCACAACATGCTTCTATTGTGCACTAAGGCAATCCCAGAAAGTATTTCCAAATATTCCACAACATACAAATAAGGAGGGAGAGAGAAAGTCCCCCTGCAGTGGCAAGAGCCTGGCCACTCCCACAGGTCAGAAGAGACTGAGAAGATCTCTGAAAATATTCCCAGCTGGCTGTGACAAACACTTGACAGTTCAGTGCTTTTAAGAGTAGGGCAGTGACCTCCATAGCCAGTGCCCCCTCTGCCCCACATCTCTGAGATGAGCAGCCACTGCAGACTATAAAGCAAAGTCAGTAACCTCACCTTTAGCAGTGATCTCATTCCCTCTAAAATTCCCCACTCCCACAACACATGCATATGATCTGATACACGTGCCAGTGCCTGTCCTGTGCCCACTGTTTTGGTTTTTGAGATTACAGCTCCCTCACTGAGTGGCAGAAAGTGTAACTATCACATGGCAGTGCTGCCTCAGGCCATCCAAGGGGAAAACTCCAGCCTTTCCATGTGCACCCAGGCAGCCTCCCCTCCAGATGAACACAGTTCCTTTTACCTGTGACCTGTAACCACAACTGACCCCAGTCTCTGGGACTAAATCCTCCCCTGTCCAATGCAGGACAGCTGAATCCTGCCCACTCTAATGCTCTCTTACAGCAATGACAGCCCTGGAGCCCCATGGAAGGGATACCTGCATGTCTCCCAGGTGGTGATCAGTGGCTAGGGTTCAGGAGCAAAATGAAGAACAGTGTATCCCGAGTGAACTGTGTGAGTGTAGGCATGGTCAGGGGCTGAACCTCAGAGGTCATGAGACAGAAGGGGTTTACAGTCACCTCCTCCTCCTCAAAGAGGCCCAGCCCTCCCAGGACAGGAAGGCTGATCGCCTCTCCACTGTCCCAGCACAAACCGCACAGGAAGCCTCCACTGCTACTTTGAGATGTGCTGCTCCTACACACCATGCACAAAGCACGGAGCTGTACCAGGTGGGTGACAGCTGAGGGGTGGAGGATACTTCACAGACCTGGGCTGGGACATGGTGAGAAGTGGAGGAGCAGCACAGGCACAGTATACAGAAGCTCAGGGACGAGCAGTGGCTTCTGCAGACACTATTCCCTTGGCCTGTCTCAAGCCCCAGGCTCCGAAGCCCCAGGGAGTGGCCTGGATAAGGAGGCAAGATGCCTGGGATGTGTCCCCATCAGCACTTCTGAAGGGCTTCGATGATGGAAGGGCATGAGTATCTTTGTGGGCACTGAACCTGTGTTTGAACCAGTTACACACATGATAATTTATCAGTGACCTTTATTCTGCTACTGTAACCCTGAGTCTGAGGGACAGTTGTTCAGGAGTAGGGGGAAATGAGGCTGGAACCCAAAAGACAGGTCAGACACAGTGGGGCTAGGCTAAGGGAACCAGCAAGAGAAAAGGGGCCAAGGCTGGCAAGGCTGAGACCCCAACAAGGGTATAGAGGCCTGAGGTAATGTGCTATTGGGTTGGGGCCAAATGCCCACTGAAGTCATTGCTGTATTTCATGGTGTATAAGTTGAAGTTTGAAACTCAATTTTTAACTTAAATTTCAATATCGACTTATACACGATATCACCATTCCCTGCAAGTGGCACCAGGCTCAGCACACATGGTAGGTGGGGCCAGGCTCGGCACTTGGCTGGCTCATGGCAGACAGGGCTTCTCACAGTGGACAGGCACTGCTCAGCTGGCACAACCCCATCCCCTGCAAGCTCAGCACCACTCTCAGGGGATGGGGACAGGGCTGAGCTCGGCACTCGGCTAATGCAGCCCCATCCCCTGTGAGCAGTGCTGGGTTCACAGGGAATGGGACCATGCCAGTTGAGCGCTGAACCTAGCCCTCTCTGCTGTGAGCGACACTGCTGAGTGCCAAGCCTATTGCCACTTGTAGTGGACAGGGCTGGGCTCAGTGCTTGGCAGCACCACTTGCAGCAGATAAGGCCAGGCTTGGCACTCAGCTGGCATGGCCCAGGCAATGCCACTCGCAGGGGTGGGGCCACACGGGCCAAACACCAAACCCAGCCCAGACTTACACACTGTGTTTATGAAAATCCTAACTTTTCGCATCAGAAAACTGGGGTCAACCTATACACTATGTCAACCTATACACCATGAGATACAGTAATTCGTAACATCTGCAAGACATTGGCATAGCTATAGGGAAATTTCAGAGACCATGATTATCCCCTAAGCCTGCAAGTACTCTGAGAGCCACCAGTGGGCTGAGAGGGCCCACCAGGCCCAAAGTAAGACTAAGATCGATGGGGCCAGGGTGGGACCTGCTGGTGGTCAGAAGAACTGAGGGCTCACTCTAGGACCCTGAGGCAGCTTCCCTTTCTAATACTCAATACTTACATCAAGGCATAGCAGGTGAGAAGAAGAGGAGGGTATGCAAGAGTCAGAGCAGGGCGAGGACTGCATGGACACTAGGGTTGCATTGCAGCCGCCCCTAGAACCCAAACATTGCCATAGAGTGTTATGTCTGCTGTTCCAGACAAACAAAACATAACTTTACTTATGTGGCAACAGCTTGTGATAAGTTAATTTTCTTGTTACTGATTTTTATCATTCTGGAATTATTTGACCTAATGACTTTTCAGAGGCCACGATCCAGGAGGATCCAGGTAGTCAACCAAAGACTGCAGTGCTGGTGTCATCGGGAAGGCTTTGGCTTCCATGACCACAGTCCGCTCTTTGGAGAGAGAGGCAGCGAGCTGCTGGGAAGGGACGGCCTCCACCTCTCTCCGTTGAGGAGGAGGCTCTTCTCAGCCAGACTGGCTGACCTACTCCACCGGGCTGTAAAGTAAGCCCGTCAGGGGATGGGGGGACTACTGCCACTGCTCACCCACTGAGCGACCCTTGCAAAGCCAGCAGGCCAAGGCACATAAGGGATCCCACCCCAGTCCCAGCCCTGGAATAAAATGTAGGCAGGGCAAGGGCTCCCAAGGGGACACTTGCGTGTCTATACACAAATGCCAGGAGCCTGGGGAATAAACAGGAGGAACTTGTTCTTCTGCTAAATGCAAATAACTACAATATCATTGGGATAACAGAGACCTGCTGGGACTCCACCCATGACTGGACCGTCGGTATAGACGGCTATACCCTGTACAGGAGGGATTGAGTGGACAAAAGGGGCAGAGGCATAGCTCTCTATGTCAAGGAAAGCTACATGTCCCTGCAAGCCGACATTGGCCCCATGTTGGATGACTTAAGACCCTCTGGGTTAAAATATGTGGAGAACATGGCTCAGGCACAGACACAGTGGATACTATGGTGGGGATCTACTACAGACCCCCTACCCAGAGTCAAGACCTTGACCAGGAGTTCACCAGGGTATTGGCTGAGTCTGCGCGCTCCCGGTTTATGGTTGGCATGGGAGACTTTAACTACCCAGAGATCTCATGGGAGGAGCGCTCAGCCAAATCCGAGTGGTCGCAAAGCTTTCTCTCATGTGGATGACCTCTATCTGACGCAGGAAGTCTACAGGCCAACAGGAGGTAAAGCACTGCTAGACCTTGTACTGGCAACCGGGAATGACCTAATCAACGATCTAACGATCGAAGGGAAGCTGGGTGACAGTGACCATGAGCTGATCACCTTCAGCATCTACCATAAAGCTGGCAAGTCAGTCAGTAATACAGAAGTTCTCAACTTCAGGAAAGCTGACTTTGACAAGCTAAGGAGGCTTGCCAGAGAGGCCCTAAAAGGTCACAACCCAATGGAGAGGGGAGTTCAGGACAACTGGTTGCTCCTCAAGGGAGCAATCCTGGATGAGCAAGCAAAGTCCATCCCATCTCAGAGGAAAGGCAGCAAAAGGGCACAGCAGCCCCCTTGGCTCTCCATGGATCTTAAAAGGAAGGCCTACAAAGGATGGAGGACTGGAACTGCCACCAAAGAGGAATACTCTGCTCTGGTCCAGACCTGCAGAGAGCAAATCAGGAAAACTAAGTCTGTGATGGAACTCCAGCTAGCAACAAATATCAAGGAAGATAAAGTCTTTTTTTAGATATGTGGGGAGCTGGAGGAAAAGCAAGGGCAACATTGGACCGCTGCTAAACCGGATGGGACAACTGACAACCGATACCCAGGAAAAAGCAAACTTGCTAAATGGGCACTTTGTGTCAGATTTTCACCAGTCCCATGGGGCGCGTCTGCCTGCTGTGGGTCAGGGAGGCCCAGGTGAGGGAAGATTCGTGACCTTATGAAGGAACAACTTGATAGGCTGCATACCTTCAAGTCAGCCGGCCCTGATGGGTTACACCCAAGGGTACTCAGGGAGCTGGCGAGCATCATAGCTCAGGCCCTGGCACAGATCATTGAGAGCTCTTGGCACTCTGAAGTGCCCAATGATTGGAAGAGGACCAATGTCATGCCTATCTTCAAGAAAGGGAGGAAAGCAGATCCGGCAAATTACAGGCCCATCAGCCTGCCCTTTATCCTGGAGAAGGTCTTGGAAAAGATTATCAAAGAGGCCATCCTTAACAGACTAGCTGAAGGCAATATCCTGAGGGATACTCAGCATGGGTTTGTTGCAAGTAGGTCTTGCTTGACCAATCTCATTTTCTTTTACTACCAGGTGACCTATCACCTGGACAAGGGGGAAGAGATCGACGTTGTATATCTTGACTTTAAAAAAGCCTTCCATCTGGTATCCCATGATCACCTCTTGGCTAAACTGGCTAACTGTGGCCTCGACCTCACCACAATCTGCTGGCTGGGGAATTGGCTCCGTGGTAGGACCCAGAGGGTGGTGGTCGCCAATCGTCTTAATGCGCCATGACCAGTGGGGTCCCTCAAGGCTCTGTCCTAGGGCCTATACTATTTAATATCTTCATCGCTGATGTGGACATTGGTGTCAGAAGTGGACTGGCCAAGTTTGCCAATGACACCAAACTCTGGGGTAAAGCATCCATACCTGAGAGCAGGAGGGTGATCCAGGCGGATTTTGACGGGCTCATGAAATGGGTGGATGAGAACCTGGTGGTGTTCAACACCAAAAAATACAAGCTTCTCCACCTTGGTAGGAAAAACCTGCAGCATGCTTATAGGCTCGGTAGTGCTATGCTGGTTAGCACTACAGATGAAACGGACTTGGAGGTCATGGTTGTCAACAAGATGAACATGAGCCTTCAGTGTGATGCTGCGGCTAGTAAAAAAAGAAAAAAGCTGGCCTGCCTTCATAAAAGCTTGAGAGGATGCAGAGGAGAGCCACGAGCATGATCAGAGGTCAGGAAAACAGACTTTAATGATGACAGGCTGAAAGCCCTGGGTCTCTTTAGCCTGGAAAGCTCAGGGGTGATCTGGTGGCCACCTATAAGTTTATTAGGAGTGTTCATCAGGACCTGGGGGAACATCTGTTCACCAGAGTGCCCCAAGGGATGACAAGAGCGAATGGTCACAAACTCCACCATGACCGATTCAGGCTGGACATAAGAAAGAACTTCTTCACTGTCCCAGCCCCCAAGGTTTGGAATAGGCTGCTGCCAGAGGTAGTTCAAGCACCCACTTTGAACGCCTTCAAGACACATTTGGATGCATCTTGCTGGGATCCTATGATCCCTGCTGACTTCCTGCCCCTGGGGCAGGGGGCTGGACTCGATGATCCTTTGGGGTCCCTCCCAGCCCGAATGTCTATGAAATCTATGACATTTTGCAATAAAGGGCTTACTCTGTACTTTTAAGAAGTGAAACACAATATGCACATTAACTCTGCTCTTAACAGACGAAAACAATTTGTTTACACAGGATGAATTAATATATGCTAAGGCCCAAAGCAGGCCTAAGTATTTACACCAGGACCTAACAAGTGAACACCCCTCAGATGTGTAGGAAGAAGTCACTTATCAGCCAGCCATCCCCAAACAATATTATAGCAGTGTGTCTGGATGCAGCAGCCACCAGAGGGGAAACTGCCAATGCCATTCTTCATCCTAGCCCCAGGGCTTCTTGGCAAAATCAGCCTCCCCAGCAGCCCAGTGCCTGAGTCCACTGGGCTTAGAAGCTGCAAGGCACTTTGCAGCATGTCAAGATGGAAAGACATAGACATAGGGAGATAGCATTCCTCCAAATACAGCTCTGTGGGGACAAGGGGGATACAGAAAATTCAGAATGTTTTGGGGCCAGTTGGGGCCTGGGCTATGTGTTTGTTGTTTCCTGGGTGTCTGATAACCTTTACAGACACTATTAAATAGTACTTCCATAGATCCACATAGAATCACACCCAGGGACTAGTGCTGCATTTTGGACCACAACTCAGGACAAAATTGTGACATGGATTTACAGGCCAAAAGAGGCAACTCAGGCATCCATCCAGATGAACACTGCAGTCCCCAAGTCCTATAACAAACCAATCCAGAATGGGTAGTAACATGGAAGGCCCTGCTGGAGTTCAGAATACTCCTATGACTCTTCTTTTGTGAAAACTTGCACACGGCAAAGATTAAATGAACTACAAAGAACCCATATTGTCTCAGGAACTTATAAGCCAAAAGGCCTGGAAAGACCGCTGAAGTCCAGAGAGTTGCCAGAGCACACCATCACCACACCTTATATTAAGAAGTTATCAGAAGATTGAGTTCTCACTTGCATTGTACTGACCTGCTTGTTCATTGACTGCTGCTCAAACCAAGCCCATTGGAAATTATTTCTCCATGGCTGAGTTCTAGTCCAGAGCTGAATTTTTATGGAGGACTTCGGTGAAAACCTGGGAAAACATTTTGGCAGAAAACAAAAAATTATTTCTTTCACCCCACACTTTCCATCATGTGAGTCTGCAACACAAGGATGCAGGAGCAACAAGCCTTCAGACCTTTGGCTACAGACTTTTTAAGGGATCAATGGAAAACCCTGGTGTAAAGACCCTCAAGTTAGTGAGTGTGAGTCACAAGAGTTCAACACTTTCCCATAAACCCAATGGTTGCTGATTTAGATTAATCCATTGCACAAGTTGAACTGCCACAAGTCTGCTAAAACAGTGAGTATAGACTGTTCCATGCCGTTCATTCTTCAGCTCACACCTGAGAGGCTCAGAGTATGGTGGGAGATATGAAAGGCTTCACTTTCATTCAGTCTCTCTGGCAGGTACCATCTCCTTCAGTGCTCAGGGATCAACAGAGCTGAGGTCTGAGCCCTGAGGCATGTAGACCTCAGCAGTGTCCCAAGGGCCTGAGGGTTCACATCCCCCTTTGAGCTCTAGCACACTCAGCCTAGAAAGCCCATTCTTGGCTTTCCACTGCTGATCCAGCTACCTCCAGCTTGTTAACAAGTGTCTTGACCTGGGCTACACTGTCCTCCTGATGGCAACATAACAATGCTCCTTCCTCACCCTGGCTCCTAAAATGTGGGGAGGGAAAACTGAAGAGAGAGTTGACAACAGGAAAACTGGCCTTTGTAGAAAGTGTTGGAAGGCTGTTGTAGCTATGATGGTGCAGGGAAAATGTGTGGGGTCAGGATTTGTGTGGGCAATATCCTCTTCTGTACCAACTTTCTAGTTGGGCACATGAGGTTTCCACTGGGATGCAGGTGGCCAGGACAGCAGGTATGCCCTGAAGGGCAATCAGGAAGTCAGCTAAATGGCAGTACAGGTTACTGGGGCAACAGATTGGGTTCTGGATCAACAGAACAGAGGATGTGGGTTCAGGTCCCTGAAAAACTGAGAGGGAGATCCAGGAGACAGTCCAGGGTACAAGCTGAGATCAGAAGTCAGGAGAATCAGAGCCAGGAGCTGAGTTCCAGGGATGATCCAAGAGCAGGTTTAGGGAAAGCCAAAGCCACATCAGGAATCAGAGAGCAATGAATGCAAAGCTTGCTGGAGCAGACTGAGGCTGTTGTCAAGGTATGCCAACAGCCTGTGGCTGCAGATGTGCTTAAAAGGGCTGAATGGTGCTCACAGCAGGCAATCCAGTTACAGAGAACTGGGCAGTTGCATTAACCTAGGATCAGTGTCAGGTGTGGGAGCTCAAGAGCTCAGCCCGGCCAGGCCTGGCTGATCACCAGAGATCCTGGGTTTCTCCGAGTTAAAAAAAAAACAAATTTCAGATTAAAAAAGTAACTGCAAATCCACATTTTTCCATGATTAAAATGAAACACCATTAACTAATATATATATATATATATATACACACACACACACACACATTAGTTAATGGTGTTTCATTTTAATCATGGAAAAATGTGGATTTGGGACACACACACACACATTAGTTAATGGTGTTTCATTTTAATCATGGAAAAATGTGGATTTGGGGTCACTTTTTTAATCCAAAAACTGGGGATTTTTTTTTTAATCAGAGAAAACCAGGAGCTCTGCTGATCACAGGCCCTGACAGGGTTTGATATAGACAAAATTTGGGTACCAAATACCTTCTTCAGGTCACTATTTATTATTGGAAAGCTTGTCTATATCCCTCGCAACTGTGGAGTTGGTCCACTAACAGTTCTCCCCAACACAAATACATACTTTGGTAAAAAGATCATTTTATGGCTACAGATGGTTGCACAGTACTCATGCTATACACAGAACTGGGCAATACAGTCCGACTTTGGATGCACTTACCCATGCTTGGGCTTTGTGTCCTGAATTGGGGAGAAAAACATCCAAAACCCCAACTTTTTTTTTTCTTTTTGAAAAAACAACTTTCAGTTCCTGCCAGGGAACTGTGCCACAGTTTGGTAGAATCCTTGTGATGACTTACAGTGCAAAGTGCTTGGAATAGTCACCTTGGCTAGCGTAGATCTGCTGCGAGTGGTTCCACAGAGTTCTTAAATTAAAACTGCCTGCCTGTAAAGAGATCTGCACCTCAACCCAGGCTCAGCCTTGAACATTTTAAGGAAGAAGCCCACAGTAGCAGGGTGTGGAAAACTCAGTTCTGTTTAAAAAGTCTGTCAAAGTTGCATTTTCAATGTAAAAATAGCACCAATGTTAGCATGTGTTATGGCACTGGGACTGCATGTGGAAATGCTTTCCATTTTCTAAACACAGCTGTCAGGGTTTCAGTCCAACCACTCAGCTAGTATCAGTCAACATAGCTCTAGCAAGTCCAATGGAGCTAGGCTTATTTCCACCAACTATTTGGCCCAGAATAGCCATGTGTAAAGTTGCAGATGCTCTCACAGCTGAAACAGAAATAGCCAGGCGAACAGAACATCACGCTGAATATAAAGGTACATCAGCTGCTGAAGGGGCTGAAGAAGCTAGTATTGCAAACCACAATGGAGCTGTGACCTCAGAGCTGTCAGACCACAATGTCACTGTTCCCGTCCAGAATGACTCAGAGCAGGCTGCAGTGGTAAACAAGATTTCTCTGCCTGTAAATCTGCACAAAGTAGTTCCTGTGGACTTACTGGTCTGAGGCTCAGCAGGACATGAGCTGCTGGGGCAGGGTTATCACATTATTTTTTAGGCTTGTTCTTGTGCTCTCTGCTCAACTCACTGGGTGCGCCTACATAAGACACTACTGAGAAGTGGTTACTCTGCATTTATTTGGTACGTGTACATGTTACTGCACAGTAGCACCAGTGAACATCTTTTAAGTGATGCTTCTGCACAGTAACTTAATAATACTGCACAGTAACTTATTAGCACTGTTAGTGCTGTGATTCTGATTCTCCTGTTACTGTGCAATATTATACAGCTACTTTGCAGTCAGCGTCTTATGTAGATGTGCCCACTGATTCTTAAACCTCAGAGCACCCAGCAGAAACTTTTGTAGGAGAGGCTACCCACAGACACTGCTCAGATGTGGTTCATATCAGAGTGGTGAAAAAGCACATATGACATTAGGGCACTGCACTGATTCATAGACCTTGCAGAAAGACAAAACATCAAAAAAGACTGGTAGCAATCGGGGCTGCTAGAGCATTTACAAAAGCCTCTACATCTTGCTCTATTGCCTGTGTTGAAAACAAGAAAGGTTCTTAATGGCACATTTTCCTGTGAATTTCTTGGAATGAAAAGTTTCCATGTTGGAATTGAAATTTGTCTCGTTTAGAAAAGTTGTTCAGGTGTCTGTGAAAAATATTGAACCCAACAAGAAGACTTAAATTAGAAAAACACATCCTTTCATCCTTTTGAAAGTATTTTGTTTCAGCCAAATGAAATTTATTGTACTTGGGATTCTCCAGAAATTTTTAAATAATGTTTTGAATCCTCCAGAAGCTTTTCCCTGATTCTTTGATTCCAAAGCAAATCTGAAAAAAAAAAAAATCACTTTTTCTCAACCATTGAAGAGTTGTGTCAGAATTATGTTGGTTCCAGATTCAGTGAAATGTCAAGTGCTGGGTGAGCACTGCTTGTTGTGTAAGCAAGTTTGTGATTTAGGCCCCAGGTGGACATTAATGTAATGGCAGGGGTGACTGGTGCCTCCTGAGTCTGGGGGGGCACAATTTGTGGGCAGGCCCAGGGGCAGGCCAAAAGACCTATATCCACTCCTATACTTCTGTGCCACAGCTTAGTGCCCCACCCCCGCAACATGCCACAAGCCCACACAGCAAAAAACTGCAATGTCCTGAGGGGTGCCAAGTCAGGGGCCAATCTCATGGGGGGCACATGCCCCCCCCCGGCCCTCCCTACCAGTCACCTGTGTTTAATAGCGCAATGAGATTTGATCCTAACACTCGAATCTCCTGCCATGCTACATGTACATGGCAGGAAGCACAATTTTGGGATCATGGATCAGATCACAGTCTTACTCTTTCTATTTGCCAGCCTGCAGGCTCCTGGCACCTGGCCTTAAACTTGATGCATGGGGGCAAGTTTAAAAATACTTTTGCACTATGAATAAGAAATAGGAAATTCAGAAATTCCCATGATACAACTGATTCTGAAAACTTTAAACTAGAAGTATAAAAACAAACATTTCCAATATTTCTGCTCAAAACAAAGAGATTTGCCATATTGAACTCAGATTTCATAGTTCCTTTCATTTGCTGACTTGGAAGCCAAAGTCCTTCACTAAAGCTGTTGTTTACCAGTAATAAAACTGCTGATGAGAAAAAAATGTACACTGGCAAGTAAAATAAAATTAAGAAATATAATTGAAAAATTATGACCAAAACCCTAGTATTCTATGGTGAAGTGAAGAGTGTCTTGGCCTCATTATATCCCAGAATATAAATGGATTTTACCCTCCTTCTTAAATTGATACAGATTATTTAAGACACAAGTGGCATGAAAATATAGGTATTTACATGCCTGAATCCCAGGGGAAATCAGAAGCTCAGAATATTCAGTTGTCTCAGTGAATATCAAAGTGTACCAAATTCAACAGAAATATTATTTTTCATCTTCATTGGTCTCCCCCGGACGTTAAAAAATGATATATACAACCAGCAGATAAATGCTGGATAAATGTAATACATGCTGGATAAATGTAATACATTTCAGGCACTGTTTGGTGAGAAGTTTTGGTTATTCCCAATTATCAGTTCTTTTTGGAAGGTAATTATGAAACAAGTCAGGATTGTTTCGAACAATACCACTGAGTGTGTCTACACATCACCAGATGGCGATATTAGTACTGTGCCATGTTTTACGGGAAGTACTAAAACATAGTGCAGTAGCTGCCCATACTATGGTGTACAGGTGGTGCATGGTTAGATTCACTGGCTACATCCTCCTGCCACTGCCCCCGCAATTGACTTGCAGTAAGCTAAGGGAGCTTCTTTCCACTGCTGCCTGGCTGCTTTCCCAGCCATGTGCATGTGTGCACACACACGCACACATGTGGTACCTCCTGCGCCCCACTCCCCCCAGCCCCTTGCAGACTGGAACTCTGCCAGGCTGCAAGGGGAACCCATGGTTTCCCATGTTTTTCCATAGTGAATGGAAAACCTAAATCCCTGCACATGATACTGGGATGATAGTTGACTGTATCCAGGGGAACCCAGGATGAATGCTGTCCCGGAGTCATTCAGCCTGGGACTGGGACTTGATGATCACATTTCAGGACTCTCCCACCCAATTAGGGGTGGGTGGTCATCCTAAGATAAGATAATCTTTGAAGATACAGCACTATACACACAAGCACTATCAGGCAGCAAAAGGTTCTCCTCAGCTGGTAAATCTCAATCCAAACAGTTCAAACTTCAACTCTTGATCAAGAAGAGGATGGGAGGAGCAGAGAATGTGATTTCGCCTATGATTTCCCTGGGAATTGCCCACAGGGACAAGGCCAGCCTGAATTTTTCTCTTGCAGAGCTGGGGATTTCCTTATGCATGAGCGGAACCAGACAGCCCTTAAGATCCCTCAAGCCCTTTGATGCTCTGTCTGTATAATTTATTGACTCCTGTGGGCAGCAGCCCAGGAACGCACACCACTCACCAGGGAAACATGCGTTACTTCCCCTTGGTAAGACCTGTGCCGCATCTCAGCCAATAAGGTCCAAGAATGCAAATGACCTGGAGGGGGAGACTAAGGATTGGCTGAGAGGGATGCTGCTGGCATTATGACATCAGCCTCCCAAGAGCAAGGTTTGGCTATTGAGTCACAAAGCCCTGGCTCAGGATCACCAGGGGATACATATACCACCATAGGGGCAGTGTGTGAGGGGACTGGATCCCAGGTGGATTATGCTGAAGCTGTGTGTCCCCAGGTCAGGAGTGTCATTGGAAAGAAGACTGGGAGGCTCCCACAAATCCCAGGGACAAGAACTATCGAATGTCTG